AAATCTTGAGATGAGGGCAAAATACTCACCCAGGAGAATTTCACCCAAACATAGTTTTCCTCTGATTCTTTTTAAAGTCCGTCCTTCCTTCCATCCATCACATTAAATGAGAAGACAAACACAACTTGGCACAGCTCTGGTTTCTGTAGAGAGACATGACCGCAGTCACATTTGGTTTAATCTTGCAAGCTGATACCAGTGTTCTGTGAAAATGAGTCATTATTAAACCTGAAGTATCAGACCTCCTGTTTATTTTGTTTCTGAGCAGAATCAATTAGTCCTCCTGATTAAAGTAAAATGCCTGCAACAGATCTTGAGCAGAGACAGACATCTTGCTTGTTGCTGCAAATAAAGCTGGAATAATACAAAAAAGCAGACCAAGTGTTAAAATCAAGAGCCAACTCTTCCTGGACTGGCAACTGAAGTATCTTTTACATTTATTTTTCTTGCTTTCTGGTGAGGGCTAGTCGAAGTGTGAGAAGTTGTTCCTGTGTTGGCTTAGTTCAATATATTTTTCAATATAAAAATTCATTTTTATAGTTTAAAAATGGGATGCAACATTCTTTCAGTGATTTTCCAGGTTTCACACTTATTCTGATAAAGTGATTGGGTCACTTAATTGACTCAGGGCATTGCTGAGGTCAGTGTGTGATCCGTGACTGTCTGGGACACCCAGGAAAGAGAAAGAAATCCAGATTGGATCCAAGGGGGCATCGAAACAGTGGACATAAAGGCAGGAGAACTGGAATAAATGGATTTTTAAAAAAGGAAAGAGGAAAAAATAATGTATTACTGGACTGCTGCTTCTCCAGAAAATGTTTAGAGGAGAACAAGTAAATATTCACCTGTTCCAGAGCACCCGTTTCAGTACATGATGGGATAATCCTCAGATAAAACTCTAGGAATCAGGTTGTTTAGCTATCATAGCCCTTCCTTTTGATCCAGTGACAATCACATTCATCTCCTTGGAGGGGCAGGTCAACCAGACACTCTTCTGGGATTTGCTGATGGCTGTAAAAAAAATATCGATTGTGCAAAAATGATGTGAACTTGCTATTCCTCCTGATTTCCCCACCTTCCCTCCCTGAAGTCTGACGATTGGCTGAAATGTCTGTGTGGAGTAGAAGAAAAGCAAACTCCATGATCTCTTGGCTGGTCCTAAGAGGCGTGGTGAGGTTCTACCTTGTTCAAAATTAGTCGGGGGCACCAATTCAGAGCGGCACAGAGACAACCAAAATTGTCTGGAAAAGGTTTAGCTTTCCACCTGGTGTATCTCTGTCTCTGCTTTTTGTCGCCTGGTACAGTGTTCAATCGAGTGTGGCAGTGGGACCCAGCAGAGGGAAGTCATCTGTATCAGAAAGACCGAGGACAGCTTTGACATGCTGAACCCCTACGAGTGTTCGTTTCTGCAAAGGCCGCCCAGCCAGCAGACGTGCTACCTCAAGCCTTGTGGTGCGAAATGGTTTAGTACCGAATGGAGCCCTGTACGTATCTCTGCCTTTTCTCCATTATTTTTTCCCAGTCAAGTACAACGTGCTCCTTGTGCTGAAACTGTTTCTGCATCTCTGGACTCAGGATAAAGGTCTTCCTTCATACATGATCAAGCTGGGAAGATCCTGGACTGAGGTAGCTCCCCGTAGTGTTGAATGCTGCAGTCATAAAGCGAGAACGTGGTTGTGTTCTGGCCTATGTTCCCTTCACTGTTCATTCCTGCAATAACAAAACGGCCCCTTCTTCACCCCTCATTGGTGGAGTCAGACAATTTTCTCTGTGCAGTCTAAAATAGCATTTTTGCTATTTCCCTGTCACAGCAGGAATCAAAATGCATTCGAGTGAGGTTTTTCTTAATTAAAAAAATGCATATGAAGAACATTACTCTCAAAAACACTTGAGATAGCTTACAAATGAAAGATAAATGCACTGATTAAGGTAAGCATATAATAACCCAGAGTATTATTCGCATTAGCAGCCTTTTGTCTTCTACAAAACTTGCTTTGGCTCGCTCTGCTGTTCTTATCATAATCTTGGGAGGAGTCAGACAGAGAATGAGTGACTAGCCCAGGGTCATCTGAAGAACTGCTTAACTGAGCGGGGATCTCCGCACATCTCGTCACATAGTGACGCCGAGCCTCACATAGAATTAAAACGTTATATTCATAGCTTGGATTCTCACAACAATGCATTGGTTAAACAAGTTGGTTAAGTATGACAATCCGACTTGGAGGAACCAATGCAATGAGACAGGGTTCCTCAACCTTGGCCACTTGAAGAGGGGTGGACTTCAACTCCCAGAATTCCCCAGCCAGCATTCTGGGAGTTGAAGTCCACCGGTCTTAAAGTTGCCAAGGTTGAGGAACCCTGCAATGAGCTAGCCAGATTTTAGAAGCTGCAGTCCAGCCTATTCAGGAGAGGCTGTTAAGAAAAGGGTGTCCTAGTTCAACAGAGAGTGGGATACCCAAGGTCCAGTCCAGTAGGGTCTCATCGGATCATACAAAAACTACTGGTTTGGAATACTGTCTCCAAACTGAAATATTCATTACTCTGATTGCAAGTCAAGGTTTCCTGACTCTTTCCCTACTCTTCCTGGAGGGTCTCTCTGCTCCATCATCAGCCTACCTCTAGACCACCAGACCCCAAACTTCTCAAACTCTTTACAGGGGTGTCTGAAGAGTATGGGAAAAAAAGTCAAGTTGTCAGCCACAATGGTGTAATTGAAACTCCACCTGTTTCTATGGGTGTTGCACCATTGTGGTCATCAACTGCCTTTTTTGACCATGCCCTGTGGACACCTCAGTCTTTTGCAGGACTTCATTTCAGCAAATAACCTGCGGACTGACATTTAAACTGAGAGAATGCACCAATGCTTGTCTACTCAATCTACTTTTCCCAAAGCTGATGAAATAATCTTCAACAAGGAACCCAGCTGGCCATCCTGTCCTCCTAGACAACCGTGTAGAATTGCAATTTGAGAAAAATTAAGATTCTAGATTTCACACTCTGGTCAATTGTCTTAGAGGGAGATGCCTGGTGTGTTAGTCCTCCTGTAAACTAATCAGGCTTGATATGAGTCAGGTTGGGAAATTTCGGAGATTTTAAATGCCCCAAAGAGAAATGTTGCTGTTTTGAGTTATGAACTTCACTTTTCACATTTCGACCTGTGGCATGGAAAACATCATTTGCCCATAAATAAATAGGGCTGAGCAAAAAGGATGATAAATATACTGGTGTGTTTTGGGTTTTTTGCATTGGCTGAAAGCCCTCAGTTCTTTCAGGCAGTGATTTATGGGTTACAGTAAAAGTTTTAAGTCATTCAGAGTCAGGTCAATCTTATTGTCTAGGTCATATGACCTCCTCTTGGCCGGGATCTGCATATGCCTAATTTATGAAGCATTATCCTAAATCTGTGTGGATTGTAGTAGCACAGAACTTAATACTTATTTCTGAGGAATTCCATATAAGATTGCCCAACCTCACCACAATGTTTTCGTTTCTTTGTTTTGCAGTGTTCAAAGTCCTGTGAGGGCGGCTTCCGAATCCGAGAGGTGCGATGTCTTTCAGATGACATGTCCCCCAGTACCAAATGTGACCCCCAGCTTAAGCCAGAGGAAAAGGAGCCATGCAACACCCAGGACTGTGTGCCTGAAATAGGTAGGAAGCCTGTTCTTGTTTTTCTAACTGTGGAACTCCATCTAGTGGAGAGAAAATAAATCTATTTATGTCCTTGAGGCTATGAAGGCAGTTCTTGCCTACTGTAGATGGATGGATGTTTTTAACCAAAGCTAAATGCATCTCTTTTTAAGAAGCATTTTTTTTTCAGTTGGAATTTAGAACGAATAGATAGATAGATAGATAGATAGATAGATAGATAGATAGATAGATAGATAGATAGATAGATA